ATCATCTATGAAGGATTCTTGTGGGGGGAGGAATACCTTAAACATGAAACTAACCAAGGCTCTAGATCAAATTGCTAGTTTACAGGCAACAGTACTGACAGGGATGCAATAACCAAATCTTGTTTGGATCTTGATTTAAAAAACCAACTTTAAAAAAATTATGACTCAACTGGGGAGAGCTGACTACTGACTAGATATTTGATGATATTAAGGAGGTTTTGCCATTTTTAGTTGTGATAATGGTACTGTGGTTATGCTAACTTCAAGAAATACAAATAATGAAGTATTTATAGATGAAATAATATGACGTACAGGGTTTGCTTCAAAATCCACTGGGCAAGGGAAGGATAGATGAATCCAGACAGTTCGTGTGCTGATAATTTGGAGAGCTGAGTGATGACAGTTCCTATACTGTTCTCTTTATTTTTACATATGAATGAAAGCTTCCATAATAAAAATATTTTATTAAATACTTTATAATGGCTTCCTATCCAAATTTGCATGGCTTCAAAGATCCTTCATGAGCTCCCCTTCTGCAACCTCATCTCCTACCATTTTTCCAGCAGCTTCCACTGTTCAGCCCTGCTGGCATTCTGGTACTTTCCTGAGCTTGCTGCTCAGCATGTTTCTGCCACAGGGCCTTTACACTTGCCGTCCCCTCTCCCAGACAGCTCTTCCCTCAGATATTTGTATGGCTTAAATTAGTTCTCTGCCCAATGTCATCTCAATGGAGAAATCTTCCCTGACCCTCCTCTTGAAAGAAAACAGAGCCCCCATCACTGTCTATCCTCTGTCAACACCTGAAATTATATTATGCACTTGTTTGTTTTTTCATCGTGGAGCATAAGGTCCATGAAGGTCCAAGCTCATTCTATTTTCCATTGGATCCCGGCTCATAGAACTGGGCCTGGCAATGAGTGAAGGACAGAATATTATTCATTTTAATATCTTTATTTGAATACTAAACTATCGAGTTCTTCATAAAGAGAATTCCTAAGATCTTCATTAGCCTTATTATCAAATTTTATTTATCAAGTCCAGAAAGCTAAGAATTAGTGATGTGACTCACTGAAGGTATGAAACAAAATGAAGAGAAACTCTCAGACATCTTTTTCCTGGGTGAAATGTCAAAAAGAAAGTTAACATCTAATATGTTCATGACACAAAAAGATATTTTAGCCCTTTTTATATGCTTTTGTCATCTGTAGGCCATCTTCAAGTTGAAGAAACTTCTCTATGTTTTCTTGAGATGAACTTCTCCTTACTTATCTCACTTAACAAATATTTACCATACACTTCCTATATGTCAGGCACTGTACTAAGTAAGCACCAGGGTTCCAGGGGTGACCCAGACAAAAACTGGGGAGGGCTAATTCCAGGCAGGAGGAAAACAAAATCCTGGTCATTATTTTTGCCAACAAAATTATTGATTGCAGAAAATTTTATGATACCTCCGTTTGAATTCAAAATGCTGGAACTATAGTTTATTATTATTATACATCTAGATAACATAAAATATATTCACATTTTATATTCTTCTCAGGCCATGATTTTTAAGTTTCATGGTAACCAATCAGGAAGACCATTTTGGCAACAAATTAGAAATTTTCTTAACACATAAGGGAGTCATCTAATTTCATCGCTTCATACTTTCCTCAAAGCAATCCTGCCATTTCTGTATGACAATACTATTGCAAACAGGTGCTTTCTTCAGTCCAAGGAAGTATGCTCTTTTGCTTTCCCATAAAAGCCTAATATTTTTCATTCTCATTTTAATAGTAAAGATACAAATTTAAGAAGTTAAGAAAAATGTCGGGCTTCAGAATTTTATGGTGTTATTTAATGATAACATTGACTATTATATTTCTACAGTGCATGATATGTACATTAGGATTATTAGATTAATGGCATCTCCAGTTAGTTTTTTAAAAGTCTCTGTGAAGAGAGATAAGGAAAGCCAAAGTGAATTTGCTACACCTGTTATCTGGGTATTTGGCATTCTTAACAAGTTCCATCCCCAGGAAGCCAGATTAATAGATGACCGGGAAAAATGTAAATTGTATTATCATCTTTGACGTGCTAATATACATGGGTGCTGAAAATCCAATTGCAAGAGGGCTGGCTTATTAACTGTGGCATGCTACAATTTACATATCTCACCCTCCAGATGTGAGAAGGGTAAATGAGAATGGAGTCTGTTCAGATCAGCAGGGGATAAGGAAGGGGAAAAAATGTGTAGACTTTGGCTATCAATTTGCCCAAGTGAAGAAACAATGACACAGTGAAATGATTGACTTTTATTTTTCCTAAAATAAATCTGGCTCTAGTTACTCCTTGGCTGCATTCTGGAGCAGACCGGAAGATAGCATCCCTAACCCTAGCTGGTCATTCCTGCATGGCCCTTCAACTTTCCAACAGTGAGGGCGAATGCAGATA